ATCTATTTCCATGTTCAGGTCTTGAAGAGTTTTATTCATTTTCTTTAACTGTTTGTTTTCTTGGATTTCTTTAAAGGAAATATTCATTACCTCATTAAGAACCTCAATCAACTTCACATAGTTGGTTTTAAGGTCTTATTCTTGTGTTTCAACTAATTTGGAATATTCAGAGCCTGCTGTGGTAGGATAGCTGGGCTCTAGTTAAGACATATTTCCTAGCTGATATCGATTTTATATCAGTTTTTATACTGGTGTCCAAGCATTTGGGTTTGGGATGGTTATAGCTCTAGGTACTGATTTCTGGGTTTTTCATTGTTGGGTGGATGTTTTGTTCATTGGTTTCTGTTTCCTCCCTAGATTTTCCCCGAGTCTGATGGCTGTGTGTTGCTTGTTTTCCTGTCCTGCTCAGATGGTGTGTTCACAGGGAATACCTGCTGGTGTTGAAGGCTGGGATATTGGGATGAGTTTGGTCTCTAAAATCCATGTAAAGGGCTAGAGAGATGGCTCAGCAGTTAAGAGCATTGTGTGCTCTTCCAAAGGTCCTGAGTTCAATTCCCAGCAACCACATGGTGGTTCACAACCATCTGTAATGAGATCTGGTGCCCTCTTCTGGTCTGCAGGCATACACACAGCTAGATTATTGTATACATAATAAATTTTAAAAAATATTAAAAAAACAAGAAAGAAAAATATGTATAGCTATACATCTCACCTGGAGGTAGGATTTCGACATAACGTTTGAGGAACACAAAAATTCAGACCATAGCAATAGGCAATAAAGAAATAGCCGTTTCTAAAAAAAAAGAAAAGAAAAGAAAAGAAAAAGAAAAAAAAGAATCCATGTAAAATGAATGAATGAATGAATGAGTAAAGCCAAGTGTGATGGCACAGTGCTGGGGAGATAGGGAATGACATAATCAGTAAGCCCTAAGTCCCAGTGAGAGACCCTGTCTCAAAAAACAAACAAACAAACAAAGCTGACAGCTCCTAACCTCCAGCCTACATACATACACGCACACACAGACACACACACATGCACGCATATACACACAGGAAAGTAGTAGTATCACAGGCTGGAGATTAAGTGGTAAAACATAAGCCTGTGGGAAAGATTTCATATTTCCAACTATGACATACTTTAGGTTTTGAATGGTGATCTTTTCCCAGGTAAGAGATACCAGGATGCTGAGTGGCACTAGTGAGCCATCTCTCCTACTGAGACATATAATCACAGGACAGGTAACTGGTACCCCACCACACACTGTACTGCTAATGCGATGCTTGGTAGGTTAAGTGTATTAAGTGAATTTTCAGGACAGCGAAATGGTTCAGTGGGGTAAAGGCACTTGCCACAGAGCTCGACAACCTAAATTCAATCCCCAAATCCCAAATGGTAGAAAGAGAGACCACAGTCTACAAGTTGTCCTCTGATTTCCACACACACGTGAATGTGGCACATGTGTGAATACATGTGTGGGCACACACATGCACACATAAGAAACAAATAAAATGTAATTTAAAAAGTGGGACTATGAGAGATCTTTAAGAGGTGCCTAGGGCTGGAGATGTAACTCAGCAGAGTACTTGCCCAGCAGACACAAAGCACTAGGTTCAGTCTCTAGCAGCACATAAGCCGGCTTGAGGGTGCTCTCAGGTAATCCCAGCACGTGAGAAACGGAAACAGAAGAATTAGAAGTTCAAACTCATCCTTGGCCACACAGCAAATTCTAGGCTAGCTTGAAATACAGTAGACTCTGGCTCAAAAATACCCGCTTGCTCCACACATAGTAACAAAAGAAATCTCTTAGAAGGTGTGAACAAAGGTGTGAAGTTGAAAACAATCGTGAGTGGGAGCAAGGCAGCTTGGTAGTCGAGAGCATATTGCTGCTCCTCCTACCTCAGATAGCTGGCAACCACCTGGAACCAGCTCCAGAGGGAGCTGATGCCTCTGACTTCCTTGGTCCCTGCACTCTTGTACATATACTTCACATGCAGACACACATGCATACCCAGAATTAAAATAATAAAAATTGTTATTAAAAAAGAATGGCTTTGGGGACTGGAAAGATGACTCAGAGGTTAAAAGCACTGTCTGTTCTTCCAGAGGTCCTGAGTTCAATTCCCAGTAACCACATGATGGCTTGTAGTCATCAGTAATGAGATCTGGTGTCCTCTTCTGACTATGTAGGCATACATGCAGGCAGAACACTGTATACATAGTAAATAACTACATCTTAAAGAAAAAAATGGCTTTTCTTTTTTTAAAATTATGACTATAGAGACTGAGAAAATACATTAGCAAATATAGTTCACAAACATGGGAGAAACAAATTCTTTTTTGTTTAGAGACAGTGTCTCACTATGTAGCCCTGACTGGCCTCCAATTCATAGAGATCCACCAGCCTTAGCCTCCTGAGTGCTGGGATTAAAGGCGTGTGCCACCATGCCTGGCTTGAAAGCAAGTTCTTACAAAAATTAAACATAGGACTAATACATGATCTAGGTATTTCTACTCTCCGATGTACCTTAAGCAACTTAAAAGCAAGGACTCAAACGGAATACCTCAAGCACTATTCACAGTGGCTCAAAGTAGAAATATACCAAATGACCACTGGGGATGAGTAGGTAGGGCTAAGGAGATGGCTCAGGGGGGGTAAAGCTTTTGCACAAAGTGTGAGGACCACGGTTCAGATCCCCAGAAACTACGGAAAGGCTGGCAGGAGTTAGTGGTCCACCTGACATCCCAGAGCTCTGGAGGTGGAGACAGGGACTCTCCAAAGCAAGCTGGCTAGCTAGACTAGCCAAATGGTTGAGCTCTAGGCCCAAGTGAGAGACCCTGCCTCAAAATACAAGGTAGAGAGTGATTGAGGAAGACTCCCCACATCAACATCTGGCCTTCACATGTACACACACATGCATGAACATCTACATATGCAAGTGTACCCATACACACGCAAACACACACATGTACACTATTAAGTGTGTAAAATTCTTTTTAAATGGCTAAACAGACAAAATATGGTATCAGTGAATAAACAGAGCCAAGCATGATGGTTCATACCTGTAATTATAGCACTTTGGAGACTGAGCAGAAATATTATTACAAGTGAGCAGCTACATAGTGAACTGAAGGTCACCCTGAGCCACATCCCAAGACTCTCTCTCAAAACAAAACAAAAAATAAACAAAATATGTGTAAGTAGATGTATACACACATGATGAGAGACAGACAGACAGACAGAGAGAAAGAGAGAGAACTCACATTAGAGTATTATTCAGCCTAGTGGGGTATAGGCCCTAGCACTCAGGAGGCAGAGGCAGAAGGATCTCTGTGAGTTCGAGGCCAACCTGGTTCACAGAGCAAGGTCTTGGTCAGGCAGGGCTGTTACACAAAGAAACCCTGTCTCAAAAAAACAAAAATAAATAAATAAAAAGAATATTATTCATCCTTAAAAAGGAATGAAATTCTCCTGGGGGCATATGCTAAGTGAAATCAGGTAGACACAGGATAAGCTCTATATAATTCCACTTACCTGAGGAACACAGGGTTGTCAAATTCACAGAGACTGAAAATATAACTGAACTGGGCAAATAGTTTAATGGTAGAGTATTTCCTAGCATGCATGAGGTAATGCCATAGGCTCAATCCCTAGCACCACAAAAAGAGAAGAGAGAACTAAAAATAACAGAAAGTAGAAGAAACAAAGTTATGAATAGAGAATTTAGCTTCAGATGATGAATACATTAAGATGGATGGTAGTGATGGCTGAATTACATTTTGAGATGTACCTTTTGTTTCTGAACTGTGTGCTCAAAATTACTAAGATGGCAACATTATGCTGTGTGTACTTTACCACAGTAATTAAAAAAAAGAAAGAAAGAGTAAGTTGAGGAGCCTGTAGGATGGGTCAGCTTGTTAAGGCATTTGTCATCAAGCCTGACGACCTGAGTTTCATCAGGACCCAGATGCTTAGTAACGGGAGAGAACTGACTCCCTTACATTGTCCTTTGACTTCCACATTTGTGTGATGCACACACACACACACACACACACACACACACACACACACACAATAAATGTAATTTAAAAAAAATTTAAAGAGTAAGTTGAAACTATAACTGTAGGTAATCATAACAAAATTGGAAGTGTTTACTAGGTAGTTAAAACTTGTTTGTATCTTTTTTTCTTAAAGATTTATTTATTTATTATGTATACAACATTCCTTCCATGTATGTTTGCATGCCAGAAGAGGGCACCAGATCTCATTATAGATGGCTGTGAGCCACCATGTGGTTGCTGGGAATTGAACTCAGGACCTCTGGAAGAGCAGTCAGTGCTCTTAACCTCTGAGCCATCTCTCCAGCCCCTGTTTGTATCTTTTTTAAAATGAGGATAGAGAGCCAGAAAGTGGTGGCACATACCTTTAATCCCAGCACTTGGGAGGCAGAGGCAGGTGAATCCCCATGAGTTCAAGGCCAGCCTGGTCTACAAGAGCTAGTTCCAGGACAGCTAGGATTGTTGTTACACAGAAACTCTGTCTCGAAAAACAAAATAAAACAAAAAAAAATAAGTTTAAATGTTAAAACATCAAGGACAATACAGAAACACAAAGCTTCAACTGGTAAAGGAAAGCAAATGGGGGATTTAGAAAAGATTATCTGTCTAATCCAACAGAAGGCAAGAAATGAGAAGAGAGGAAAAGCAAAGCAAGAAACTAAAGGAGTGCCGGGCGGTGGCGGTGCATGTCTTTAATCCCAGCACTCGGGAGGCAGAGGCAGGAGGATCTTTGTGAGTTCGAGGCCAGCCTGATCTACAAGAGCTAGTTCCAGGACAGGCTCCAAAGCTACATAGAAGCCCTGTCTCGAAAACAACAACAACAACAACAACAAAAATTAAATAAATAAATTTTTAAAAAAACCAAAACCACAGGCTGGAGAGATGGCTCAGCTGTTAAAGGCTAGGCTCACAACCAAAAATATAAGAATTCAGTTCCCAGCATCCATGGCTGTCTCTCCAGCCACCCCCCCCAAAAAAAAGAAAGAAAGAGAGAAAAAGAGAAAAAAACCCACAAAAACAAAAAGATGGCATGAATGGGTTTGAACATGCCAATAATCAACCTGAACATTAAAACACCAATCTCGCTTAGTAAAAGAAAGAAATTCTCAGTTTGGATATTCTTTTGTTTTCGAGACAGGGTTTCTCTGTAGCTTTGGAGCCTATTCTGGTACCATAGACCAGGCCGGCCTCAAACTCACAGATATCCAGCTATCTCTGCCTCCCGAGCGCTGGGGATTAAAGGCATGCGCCACCACCACCCAGCACAGTTTGGATTAAAGTCCAATTGCACATTAGATCAAATAACTTTTAAAATATGATACAGTCTGCTGATACGCACCTATAGTTCTAGCAATTGGGAAGCTTAGGCAGGAGGATCATGAGTTGAGAACCAGCATGGGCTACATTGCAAGACTATGCCTCAAAACAAACAAACAAAACTATAGCAATTAAAAATATGATCCAGTTAAGTTTAAAGATCCAGCAGTGGCAAGTCAGCCGGGAGACGGGTATCCACAGCAGTAGTGAGAAAATCATCTTGGCAGATGGCGCAGGATTCCAACTGACAGCTTTTCTGCTACTGCTGTTCTTCCTACTGGAATGTAGAGCCAAAGCTGGCACGATGGTACAGTAGAGGAAAGCACTTGTAGCCAAGTGGAGGGCCTGAATTCATTCCCTGGAACCCACGTCAGAAGCCAGGTACAGCCCCAGCACTCCTATGATGAAATGGAAAGCAAGACTCAGGACTGCCTGGAAGGTCAAAACCTCGCCTCGACAAGGTGGCAGAAAGAACAAACTCCTGAAAGTGTCTCCCAGCCCTCCCCCCCACTAATAATAATACTTTAAGTTAAACACACGTGTAAAATGTAGGGCCTTGCTATTGGTTTGTGAGGTCATTTGTTACTTTGACCATGAGCCTCAGTTTTAAGATGTTAGCCACAAAGAGCAACAGGGCTTTCCTAAGAAGCACGCTGCAGACCTGGTCCTCTCGGGCCAGTCAGTCCATCAGACTTAATAAAAGGATTCTCCAGTCTCAGTAGTGAGCAGGTAAAGGAGTGCTCTTATTCAGGGATTTTCATGGATTCTCCTAAAGAGTAGTTAACTGTACCCCTCCTCCCGTTACTCTCATTTTGGATCTGTTCTTGCTCTAGACCACTGCTGTCCTGACCTTAACATCCCTTTTCCCAAGCTCTTCACATGCCTCATCCCAATGGACATAAATCTATTTCTTTCGTGGCTGGGGTATGATAGGTTGCGTTCGGGTTTTGCACATTAATCACTCACACTCTACCACCGAGTTCCCACCTTCTTATTTTATTCTCAAGGTTACAACCTTTGTCCAGGTTCTTCAGTTTAACAAGACACAGCTGCTAAGATTCCTGATAATGCAGGCTCACCCCCACCCCGATTCCAGGAATCTCCAAGTTGTGCCATACCTTAGGATCCTAATGCCACTGGTAGACTAGGGTATTGAAAGATCTTTCCATTTTCTGCTCATTTTCACTCAGGAATGCCTTCAGAAGAGCCATACTTTCCTTGAGGGGAGAGAAACACTCACAGCCTGCGATGCAATGTCAGGAATCTCCATCGTAACCCAGAATTTGGAGGCTCTGCCTTTAATTGGAACAGCCTGTGAGATAGCACTGGTTCAGGCCTGTCTGGCTCCCTGAATGAAGAGTGAGGATGAGGCTCGGGCCTTCTTAGTGTGGACTCAGTTTCATGATTTCCTGTGAGCAAACCCTTGGACCAAACATACTTAGATCACCTAAGAAAAAAATAAGAATTTCACAAGATACTTCCATGCTTATTCTTCTTGGGAAGGAGGAAATTATCTATTCTTCTTTCAAGGGTACAATCTTGTTATAGGCATCTTTTATATTACTATATAAACAGAAAAGTCCCAGCAATTAAATTGCACTTTGATAAGTGATCATTTCGTATTTTCTTTAGGACAAACACATCTCCTACACAAATGTATAGAGGACCCATTTTTGTAGTGACTGCCTTGAGTAAAATCAAACCACAAGATGGATGTCTCACCTTCTAGAAACATAAAAATATAGTTTTAAATATAATGTCTCTCTGGCTTAAAAGTTTCATGTTGGGAAGTTGAGTTTTGTGTACTTGTGAGACTGAGACAGGAGAAATGAGAGTCTGAAGCCAGTATGGTTATATGACAAGACAATGTCTCAAAAACCAAAACAGGCCAGGCATACACTTTTAACCCCAGCACTTGGGAGATAGAGACAGATGTAACACTGTGAATTTGAGGCTAGCCTGATTTACATAGTGAGTTCTAGGCTAGACAGGGCTGCATAGAGACCCTGCCTCAAAAATAAATAAATAAATAACCCACCCCACAAAAACAAACAAACAAAACTCCAAACAAATAGTTTCACTTCAGGGTATTTGTTCTGTGGTTTTAGGTTCGTAGCCAGGAGCAGCCATAAGAGGAGCCCAAGACGAGGCCTAAGAAAATGGTCTATACTAAAGGCGGCAGTGCACATTTGTAACCAGCACTCGTGAGGCAGAGGAAGGAGGACCGGGCTTTTAAGGCCAGTCTAAGCCATGTAGTAAGTGCTGCAGCAAGGACTAGATGAGACCTGCAAACAACGACAAAGAAGAGAACCAGACCATTTTGTTCTCACAAGTCCTGGAGCGGCAGCCCTGCTTGCCTGGCAGTCTCAGGTGGCAGGGAGGCACCCATTTGGGTCAGGTGGAGAACAGCAGCAACAGAGTATAGACCCAAAGCTTTGTTGGGGTTCCAAGATACAGACAAGGCAGCAGAGTTTGTAGGATGGGCTCTAGGTTTTGGGGGTGGTCCCTTGTGCCTGGGATGAGGAATATTGACTACCATCCTGTAAGAAACTGATAGGGGAGGTTCGGCTCCTGATTGGCCAATACGTATATTAAGGGCATGCTCTTGGCTGAGTCCTTTGCTATCTCTAATGACTGACTAGTCCTGGGTGGGGCTGTCTGTTTCAACAGAAAGTCTTTGAAGTTGCTGAAACACCATGATACACAGAAATTTGAAAACACACACACACACTACAAACATATGCCGGGTGGTGGTGTGGCACTTTTTATGAGTTCGAGGCCAGCATAGTCTACAGAGGGAGTTCCAGAAAAGCCAAAACTACACAGAAAAATCCTCTCAAAAAACCAAACCAAACCAATATAAAACAAAAAAGTGAAATTATATATATATATATATATATATATATATATATATATA